AACGAAGGGGCTTTTTGTTTTCCAGGAGCTATACCAGCTCAGGGTAGGCAGAGATTAAATGATCCTCTTTGTTTTCCTTGTTCCCAGCATTTCCGGGATGCTTTCAAGCTCCTTTTGAGGGACTGGGGGTTGGAAATGGTGGTGTAGGAAGTGTCTCTACTGTTACTCTATCTGCTGCCTATGCCACCCAGACTCTATCATGGGGGCCAATCTTTTTTTTCTTTGGACACCATACAATCATAGGGTTGGGAGGGACCTTGGGGGGTCTTCTAGCCAACCTCCTGTCCAGTGCAGCATCCATAAGAACCACTTCTGTCCCCAGCTGCCTACCACATCTGCCAGGCGTCACTTGCTTGCACTCAGGCTTCACGGAATGCACTTTGCTAACCTACAGGAGCATCTTAGAGTAGAATTGCTTAGAAAGAAATGCTGTCCTTTCTTGGAATCACTGCTTCCCAATTTGCTCTGAGTTTTGAGAACCTGTGCAGCCTCATTCTAGTGCTGCTAGAGGGACGGAACTGGTTGAGTCTAAGAGCAACATGTTTGAGACACATCCATGATAAACAGGCCGAGTGGGAGAATCAATAAATCTCCCAGAAAGATTGCCCAGGAACGCATGTGGAATGCAAGTGAAAGTCAGTTAGAACTTTGGCAAGTACCGAAGAGAGCTGGACAGATATGCCTGCACCCACTTATAGCCCAATCCTGTGTATGTTTATAAGTAACTACAGTATTGCAAAGTATCCATATTTACCTGAAGTATGGACCACTGAAAATAGTAGGACTCCTCAGTAAAAATATATAGAAAGAGATCACAGTCCATTCAGGCATACTATCCAGGAATCCTGATTGGCTTTTATGTACTCCTTTGCTTAGCTCTTGGAGCTTTACCTCCTGCTTCAGAAAATATATCAGTATGTGAAAGGACACTGTCTCCTTTAATGCTGTTTGGTGGGCAGTTCTGCAGAGAAGTCTCTGGATGGGAGAAGATTGCTAGGAGGCAAGTGGTGATTGGATCTTTAGTGAATGGACAGATTCGTTATTTTGAGCACCGCTAAAAAAAAAAAAAAAAGAGCAATGAAGGCATGGACATAAACTTGTCAATTTTCCTGGGAGTGGGGGTGGGGGCACTGGAAGACTGCAGTCAAGTCCAAAATTTTTCATATAGCAGATGAAAATAGAAACAGAAGTGGAGTTTCACTTCTTTTTAGTGCTGTATGGAGTTGGAAGACACAGCCCCTGAATGAAACCCAGGGTGTCCTGACCATGCTTAATATGCTTTGTTGAATTGGTATTTTCTAGAGGAATGGGTTATTTGGGTCATTGATAGATTTGTTTATATCCAGTCACAACTCTGGTGAGGCAGGCAGGGCAGTAGCAGTAGAGAGGCAAGGAACCGAGACAGGTGCTCAAGTCTTCTTTTCCTCCCTTTTTCTAGTGCCCCCGGATGGTCTGGCTGGTTCTGATTACAGTTTTGGGGGGTTAGAAGCAGACAAGGAGCAGGAGTTTATTTTATTTATTTATTTATATTTCACATTTAGTCACCACCCATCTCATTCAAGGAGCAACCCAGGGTGGTTTACAATAAAACAAGAATAAATACTAATTAAAATTCAATAAAAACAATGTACATAAAGAATGTATTCCAAGGAATTACGGGTAAATGAAAATTATTAACCTATGGGAGCATCTTAGAGTAGAATTGCTGTAGCCCAGGAAATGTCCTTTCTTGGAATCACTGCTTCCCAATTTGGAAGAGTTTGATGACCCCAGTTAGCCTGGCAGCCCAGCCCGACATGAGGGCTCAGCCTGGTGGCATCCATAAAATTTATATCCATGAACAGAAGAGGATGGCTAATGGAGGAGCCTGTCCACTTGAACTATAATGATGTCAACTCCCTTATCTTCTATTTTTCAAGGGAAAAAAATGCCTTCTTAAGAAAGAGAGTCCTGTGTTCAGTGACATTTACTGTAAATAAGAGTATTTCTTCTTTTTTTTAAAAAAAAAAGCAAATAAACTCCTGAAGTTTATTTACAAACATAAACCACAAAGTCCATCAGCACCTGACTCAGAAAATCATCTGATCACTATACATAGAAGAAAAACAAAAAACTTAGGAATGATCCCACATTGAAACCTCGAGTCTCCCACACAAAACATCTAGGCCTCCCTGCTTCCTTTAAAACAAATGCTCATTAAAATATGTTAGTCTCTTCAACTCTCAGTTCCATCAACCACTAAGTGCTACAATTCCACACACAGTAAAATAAACAAAAAGTATATTACTGTCAAAGGAAAATTGTTGGGGGGGGGGGGGCGTAGAGAGAAGCAAAAGAAAAAAGAAACCACTACCCTAATATAATGTATGTAGATAATATAAAGGTATAGAAATGATATGATTAGAAATCTGGGGTTTCAATAGACTATTTATTGAAGCATTTGTTTTCAATGAGATCTTTAGCATGGGTTGCTCTCAATTAGCTGATTTCTTCCAGAGATAAGTTACATTGATTTTCTTGATCTTTGATTTAAATGTGGAAAATTATCAACACAACTTGTCCCCTCTACTATCAAATAAATATTTCATAATGTATTGGATCCTTTTCCCTTTAATCTTCACCAAGCCCTAGGCAGACAACTAGCTATGTATGGCTCGGGAAATACAACTAGAAAATACAATTCAGAAAACCCTATTCAATACTCTCCCACTTGTCATCAGGGATGGTCTTTTATGAAGATAATAAAGTTATATTACTGGCCTTAAGCCTTGATTACAAAAAACAGTGTTTCTTTTATGTCGTTCATAAGAGCAGATTCAGAAAATTACAGCATCTTGAGTAATTCCTGAAAGGACATAGAAGATCTATTAATATGCTTGTGCCAAGCAAGAACAGGATACAATTTGCAAATTGAATCCTGAGTATTTTGATTTTCATATAAAAATAATTTGGCAACATTAAGTACTTTTATGTCCCATTAATCTTGGTGAGAAAGTTAAGATATTACTGGTTTTCTCCAATTAAAATGTGTGGGACTTAAAAGTTGCTATGTTATAGAAACTTACTTTGAAGTAAATCCTGTTGAATTCAGTGGATTTTTCTGTTGCATAAGGATGCATGGGCTCAGGTTATACAACGCCTAACTTTGGATCACAGTTCAGCTCCTAGCCTTTGTAGCCCCCCCAATAGTCTTTATTGCTGCTTTTTGTCACAATCTTAGAAACCACCTTGGGAGTAAGCAGACTATCAATGGGTGCAAGTGGTTATCATTCTACAGTAGTAATCTCTATGGCTCGGGATTCTGGGAACTGTGGTCCAAATGAAGGTTGGGGAATGCTAGCTCATTGCACCAATAATTTCTCATGATCTTCTGCTTCAGTATCAATTTCTGAACTAGGCAGTTTTCAAACAGAAATGGCCCACAAGTCACACAAATGAAATGGCTAATGAATTGCAAATGCATTCAGTTTGGCTTTTCAAACAACAACATCTGCTCACAGAATCTGAAATATAACATCGACTACAGGTATAAAGATGATGCCACAATTTTTTTTACTACTCTAAGTAACTTGGTCAAAGCTTCCAGGACTGCTGGTTTACTCTATTTCTATGATCCTAGCCTTTCATGAAATTACAGCAAATGCAGACTGGAAGGAAGGCTTCTACTTCCACCCTTTATTAAGCATCTATCCAGCTCTCCAGGATTTATAACATTCTCCTGAGTTTAGGAGTTATAGGAAGAGCTGGAATGGGGAATCAAGGGAGAGAAGTTGCCCCTGCCTGGAAGCTTATTTACAGAGCCCAGGAGCGTGCTTGAAATATCTGGAAGATGAGGTGTCATTCCCCCTCGTGTCCAATAGCTTCCTCTTGAGAGAGGCAGTGGAATTCCTTGGCCCATGCCTGGGTTCTTCTCCCTTCTGGGCTTGCTGGGATTGTCTAAGAACAGGTTGCTTCCATGCGGAAGGCAGTTTCCACCACCATGCAATGGCCTCATCCCTCTCTGGGGTGAGCTGTTTATGTTTGGAAGTTGGCTGGTCCACTTGGCTCCTTCTGGAAGTTGATCTTTTGGAAGATGGTTCCCTCTACATAAAAGCTTCCTCGTTCCATCCAGAAATTTCCTCATGCCACTGAGGAGCCCATCTGGGTTGTCTGATGATCGTTTCCTTACTCCATTTGGCGGCTGAGTCTGCTGGCTGTTGCCTTGCTCATCAGAAGGTAAAACTAGTGCATTACTTAAAGGAGTGGCTTTAATTGAGTTGGGTGCTCCTTCACTGTGACCCAGAGGGGTCTTGCTTCCAGCTACTGGGCAATACCCATCCGATAATTCCTTCATTGTTTGGGGAATATCATTCCTTCTAAAAGATGGGTCTGGTTTGTCTTCTGGTTCAGTGTTCCCTAGAGAGGACGTGTAATCCTTCTGCAGTTTTTTCCAACTAGCAGGGATCTCATATTCAGGAGTTGAAGCCTCTTTGGTCTCTGACTCATTCTGCTGTGTGGGCCAGTCATACATAGGAGAGCAATCATATTCATAGGGTGATTCACATGCACGGGAGGTTTTGCCCCCATATCGTGTTTCATATATTGGAGGAGTCTCGTATCCATATTGCCACTCACATGGAGAATTGCCATCATAGCGATATTGAGACTTGTGCCCCAAGGAAGTTTCATATACATATTGTGACTCAGGTGACGGAGAAAATTCATATTCATATTGGGACTCATCGACAGGGCAGCACTCGCCACCATATTGTGAATCGTACAGTTCATATGCACTTTGTGGCTCATATATAGGAGAGGTGATATACGTATAATGGGTCCCATATTTCTTTGCATAGTACTGGGGAGATGGACATCCAGAAGTCATCCCATAAACAGTGCAGGGGCTGGATCCATAGTGAGATTCATAGATGGAAGAGGAAGGATATGAATAAGGCTCCTCCTCCTTCCCAGCTTCGTATCCCCTGCAGGGGCTATTCCATCTATTGTAGGACTCATATTCCTCCAGGGGCTCATCATCAGGAGTCTCACACTCAGGTTCCAACCCACATCCATCATCTTCCTTGTATTCTGGTACAGACTCAGACTCTGCCTGTATTTCACTGTCCACCACTTCCTTGTTGTTTTCTTCCTCATCTGTAAGCATAGAAACACAACAGGTATTGGGTTAAAAAACAAAACAGAAAGCAACTAGTTTATGCATTCCTAATGCTCTCACCATTGGAAAGTCTGTCAGAGGTGGGAAACAAATTTTCATCTTTCCCATAAATCAACTAACTTCCCTACCTTTAGTGGAAGAAAAGTGTGCATCACCCATTCCTTCCTTTATCAAGAACAAGTTTTATTCTTGGGGACTGGTTGCTTAATATTGGCAGATTCAAAGAACAATGTTTGCACTTATGATAGAAGAGACTGCTCTTACCATGCCAGAGCTTTGTAATCTTTTTGTGAAGTCTAAGTTGCACTAAGAACACATCCAGTCCAATAAAAGCAAATACAGGTAGAGAAGTATTTACACAGTTTGCCTCTAACAGAAGACTGGCTTTCTTTCCAGAACAGAGAAGAACCTTTCAGTGTGACAAGGGAAGCTGGGGGATTGGAAGGGTTTGGGTTTTTTCTACCTTCTTTCATGATTCAAGGAAACAAGAACATTGACTGTGTTGACTCAGCAATGTGGTTTTCAGGGTTCCTTGCAGCTATGATTTTGGGTGACGTGGGCTAGTCTCACTCTTTCAGCATAACCCACCTGAAACCCTGGGGGGGGGGGATAGATCTTGTACTGCACTTATACCAAATTTTAAAAATTGCTAGCTTTGCTTGAGAAGTAGATTTCCAAGAGTAATCTGAGCAGCTTTCCATTAATTGTACACCTTAGCTATCCCCTTACAGCTTGCTTTTCAATTGCATAATTTATATTTACATACTTTGTTAATTACATTTCTTAATGTTCTTAATATGATGACGTAAGAAACAATAAGCAACTTATTGGGGACTCTAAAGGATACAGATTATCTGGACTCTTGGCATGGCAGAGCAACTGTATTGGTCACCCTCAGGGATGACCTGTAGCAGAGCTTAGATAGAGGTGGCATGACCATCTTTGTCCTCCTAGATCTTTCAGCAGCTTTTGATACTATCAATCACAGTATGCTTCTGGACTGCCTGCATGGATTGGGAATTGAAGACAGGTTGTTATGGTGGTTCCACTTCTACCTGAAAGTCCAGAGAGCGGTTGGAGCAGGGAGAGAGGTTGGACCCACAGGCACTTCATTATGAGTGCCTCATGGTTCAGTCCTTTACTCTATCCTGCTCAACATTTACACAAAATCGCTGGGAGAGGTCATCTGCCAGTTCAGGGTGAAGTGTCATCAATATGTGATGATACATCTCTACTCTGGTCCACTGGGAAACATGGTAGAAGTCATGACTGAGTATCTGGAGGCTGTCAGAGTCTGGAGTCAGGCTCAACCCAAACAAGATGGATGGTGGTTGATTCAGAAGCAGACTAACTCCATGACTGTACCAACTCTGGCTCTTGATGGGATTGTTCTTCCCCAGAAAGAGCAGGCTAGCAATTGGGGGGGGGGGCCCTCCTGGACTCACAACTCCTGCTTAAGAAGCAGGTAGGGATCAAGACCAGGAGGTTTTTTGCACAGTTGTAGCTAGTGTGCCAGCTGCATTCTTATCTGGAACAAGATAGACTGAAAACAGTTGCTCATCTTGTCTTGATTACTGTAATTTGTTCTACATGGGACTGCCAGAATTCAGTGGCATGTGTGCTTAGTGGTCATGTGTAGTACTGCCATGTTATACCTCCGCTGCACAAGTGACCCTGATTACACTAGGTTTCTGAGTGCAATTCGAAGTGCTGACTATGCTGTAAAGCCATATTTGGCTGGGGCCTGCAGATCCACCTTTTACTAATAGTTTTGACCTGTCTTACTTGAACTAGCTGCAGTAAAATCATAAGCACAGACACAATTTCTTTTAGTGACCTCTTTGCTTAATGACCAAGTTGCTGTCCCAACTGTGGTCGCTAAACAAGGACTATCTGTACTTGCTCAAGCAGGAAGCCCTGCCTTCTAGCTCAAGAATGTCCCTCTTCATGGCTTTGCTTTTCCCATGAAGAACTGTTTGATACATAACCCAGTTACCACAAAAAACCTGCCTACAATGACTATCCAATTAAAAGTACAGAATAAATACAATCCCTTCTCAAGTTATCTCTCTAAATATCTAGTTTGATGCCAAAAAACATGTATGTATATATTCTCTATCTATAATATCTTTTAAATCTTTTAACAATTGACTTTTCAGTGGTAAAAGAGAAATTAATTTCAACTCTTTCATCTAAACCATCTGTGCTGAGTACAGAGCCAAGATTTAATGTATACAGAATATAAAAGTGCAACTGGTGTCTGAGATACTGCAAGGGCTCATACTTTTTCATATTTCTTCTATAACTTTCAATAACATTGTGTATGTTGTAAATGACAACATTCTCTTCCAGGAAGCCCAATATCATTGCTCCTTACCAGGAACTTCAACAGATTTTAGTTCTCTGTCATCCTTTCCTTCTACTTGTTCAGAATCCTTCTCTGCAGACCTGGAATATCAACACATGGGATTAATGAACAGAGGACAGACAGACAGACATAATGGAGATTCTTTTCTTGCTTCCTATATGGCGTGTTTTTAGAATCATCAGATCCTTTACCTGGCACATCTAGAAGAGTTGCAGGACCTCTTTAAAAATAATGTCACATGAAAAGGAAAGAAGAAAGGAAGACACCGTGTTGTTACAACTATCATTCTTAAGAATCCAGGCACAAATCAAACAGCATCCACCTCATTTATTTTTGAGAGTGACTATTTAGACTCTGCAGTATTTTTCATCATACCCAACTGTCAAACTGTGCATGTATAGCCTTTTGATGCTTAAAAAAGGGGAGATATTATGCTCAGAGGTTGGAGCCATTATGTTTTGAAAGATATGATGGCATGATCTATATGTTCTTTCAATATGGAGATAAGGATATTTATTCCACATAGTAAACTCTTAATCCATGTTGTCTGTACCCAAAACCAAGTTTTGTCAGAAAGAATCTTAGAAAGATTGTCATCAAGAAAATGACAAATTTGAAGTTTGAAAAGTCTTCATCAGATGAATTTATCTTCAACTCTGAACAACAAAAAAATAATTATAAGCTTAAGAACCTAAATAATTTGAAATAAACAGCAAAAAGCTAAATAAGATTTTGATCTAAGAAAGTTATAAAC